GCCAAGCCGGCAGAGGTCAATGCCACTGTCACCTGAGCAGAGGTGGCCACTCAACGCTCAGAGGAGAGCGGGGAGAGATGCGCACCAGAGGGAACAGGAGGCTGCTCCCCAGCAAGCTTGTGGGCATGAGCCCCAGGAAGAGGCAGGCGGTGGTGCCAGCGGGCTTGCCATGCACTGGGCCCCGTCCAGCACAAGTGGGCGCAGGCACACTGGAGGGCCAGGGCAGACACGAGGGGGGGCTGCAGGGCTGGATCTGAGCAGCTGTCACTCACCCAGCCTACCTAGGCCAGCCCCGCCCCCGCCCCCAGCAGGCAGGGAGCTGATGGATGGTGCTCCCAGGCGCCACCCCCACCCCGGACTCTCACAGGCTCCCCAACAAAACTGCCCCGAGCGATGGCTCCAAGACAAGTGTGAGGGGGGCCACACGGATGAGCCCACCTCTCCACGGGCCCTCGACAGCCCTTCCCACCCTGGAGAGGTGTCTGGCTCCCGCTCCCGCTGCCCCTGCAGTGCTGAGAAGGGCCGAGCAGGATGCCCATGGCCCGTGTATCTGGGGAGGGTGGCGTGTGATCGTGTGGACAGTGGGAGGACAGCGCCAAGGGCACGGACGACGTGGGCAGCAGGGTATGCTGGGGCTGAGGAGAGCCAAGGCCAGCAGCAGGTGCGGATACTTGCTGAGAGTCAGCCTTCCTCCTGAGAGCTGGGAAGAAACTGCAGGCCAGAGGTGGGACACAAAACAGAGGTGTTCAGACAGGCCCCGAGCTGCTCCAGACAGCCTGCAAGGGACAGCACCTGACGGGGGCACAGCCTGGGTGGGGGTGGGGATCAGCGAGGAGAGGGGCACACAGCAGGGAGCATGCAGGGCTGCTGCCAGGAGTAACATCCAGGCTAGAGCCCCCAACCTGGGGGAAGCAGGGGACAGCAGGGAGCCCATGGAAGGGCCTGGCTCAGGTCTAGGAAGGGGGCAGCTGTCCCATTCTCCAAGGGAGGGGCTTGGGGAGGAGGGCAGGGTGTGGGCAGGTGCCCCTGCAGGGGCACTGTCTGTCTCTACAACACCCACCAGGCCATCTGCATGGGGACCCTGAACAAGAGGGCAGTCACTGTGGTGCCACTGCACTGGGGGCAAGTGAAAGGGCCCCAGTGCAGCCTGCCCTGACAGGGACACTATGAGCCAGCCTCAGCCTGCCTGCAGCGTAGTGTCACTCCCGGGCCATGGGCCTGGGACCTGACCTGTCTGCAGCCCACTTCCAGCACTGCACCTAGGACAGGTGACCCCAAGGGGACCATCCTACCTGGAGCCCCCGTGTCCACTGTCCCTGACCCCCACAGCACTCTCAGAGCAGCCACATCACGATCGGGGATGGGGGTGTGGATGGACGGTGCTCTGACCTCCCTAGGGACAGCGCTCGCTCCACAGGGGCAAGAGCAGGGGCAGGAAGACAGCACCTGACAGCCTGCCTGAGCCAGAGCCCAAGTCAAAGCCTGAGCATGAGCCAGGCACTCCCGTCCCAGGCCTCAGCTCTGACAGCCCCAGGGGCACCCACCTGTCAGAAGGCGGGCCAGGTTCCTGGCTGGACATCCAGCTATGGTCCCTCAGCTATGGAGGGAGGTTCCCTGGGATGCAGGCAAGGAAGTATTTACACCTGTACCTCTGTGTCAGCTCCTGAGAGCAAAGCCCCTCAAAGGGTGGCTGGGGCCCAGCTCCTGCTCCCCACTACCAAGGACATGGTGTCTGGGGCTGTGGACACAGTCCTGTGCTCGCGGCGCTGGCAGAGGGCCTGGCAGGCCGGCTTTCAGAGAGAGTGAGTCAAAAAGGAGAGCACAGTGTCATGGTTCCACCAAGGGCACAAGCCAGGATGGGGTATTCCAGCACGGCCCCCATCTGGCCCCCCGGGGACGAAGGCCGAGCCCCAGCCTGGCAGCCTTGTGGTGCCCCCTCCTGTCTCTCCAGCTCCTGTCGGGCCCGGGAAAAGCAGCAGACACACAGAACTGCCCACTCTGATGCAGAACCCACAAAAGTGAGAACGTGGGGCAGCCGGGGCAGCCGGGGCGGCAAGGGTGAGGCCAGAGGGCATCAGCCCCTCTTCCGCTCTCTCCCTCCCGTAGGGGCCCGTCCCCGGGGGACACCAGGCGCAGACAGAGTCTGCGCCCCTAAACATGCTGTGTCTGCATGGGGGGCTGGAGGAGGAGGTGTGGAGACTCCAGCCCAGTGCTCAAGGACGGCCCCTCAGACCTTACACCCAGACTTGGCAGAGTTCAGATGTGAGTCCAGATGTCCCCACAGCCCTCTGCCCCCAATGGGGTGAGGAGGAAGAGGGGGCCGCTGGTGCCAGACAGGGAGCTCCTGCAGCCAGGACAGTGCTGGGGAACAGAGAGCGGGGATGGGCAAGAGGCGCAGCAGGTTAAGTAAGCATTGGGCTGTTCACTGAAAGGTCAGTGGTTCAAACCCACTGGACGCTCCTTGGGAGAAAGATGTGGCAGCCTGCTCCCAGGGGGACTCACCCTGAGGACTGCGTGGGGCAAGTCAGCCACCACAATGGGGCTCTGTGCGTCGGGGCTGCCCTGTCGAGGAAAGAATGCAAGCAATGCCCTCCCCTCACTGCCGTAGGACTGATAGGGGTGAGGTGTCTAAGTTACACAGGTATGACCCAGGTGTGCACATGGCTCACTGTAGGGTTAAGGTATCTGCATGTAGGGTTAGGGTATCTGGGTTACACAGGTAGGGCTCCAGGTATGCACACGGCTCACTGTTAGGGTTGGGGTATCTGGGTTACACAGGTAGGGCCCCAGGTATGCACAGGGCTCGGCTGTTCACCGGAAGGTTGGAGGTCGAGTCCCCAGGAAGCACCTGGGGAGAGAAGCCTGGTGATCTGCCTCTACAGAACCAGAGGTCCCCCCCAGCACACATGGGTGGCCATGGTCAAAGCCATCTGGACTGCGGCTACCACCTCAGAGACCCAGGCCGGACGTGTCCGCACTGTCCTCATAGAGGGAAGGACACCAGCCCATCGGGAGTGGCCCAGCTAGCTCCTCAGGCACCGGGCCTGCCTGTGGGCTCTGACTGGCCACCGCCAGTGCACCAGTGTGGTCAGCCAGGGGAGGGCCCGCCTGACAGACGGCTCGGAGTGCTGTCATCTGTGGGCAGGATGTTTCCAGAGCTGAATGCAGGGATGCTCACGTTTCATCCTCTTCCACTTCCCAACAATGAAAACTTATTAAAAAGCCCATGAATATGTAAATGCCATCTTAAATATGGAAATGCAAAACATGCAAGAAAACAGTCGGGTGTGAAATATGAATGCAGCTCATCTCGAGAAGAGGCAGGCATGGCGGGCACGCCAGCCCAGCCCCCATCATCTCCACCACGAACAGTGAGGTGCTCTAGAGTGGAACCCCTCCCCCGACCAGGGCCCAGGGGCGTGTGCTGCATGGACCCTGCTCTCAGCTGTGGTCCCATGTCTGAGGTGGCCCAGGGCTCCCCCACCCCTCGGCTGCCTGCCTTGCTCCTCTGCTGGTGGACCAGGGGCCAGAGAGCAGCTGGCAGGGCTTTAGGGGCTCCCACGTCCCTGCTTGGGGCAGCTGCTGGGGTGTGGCCAGCAGAGGGTCCCTGGGGGCATGACACCCCCCACCCCCACTCAGGTCCCTCTGTTCCACCACTCCACTGCCAACCTGAGCGGTCAAGGTGTACACAAGGGCCAGAACATGGAGGGTGGTGACCAGTGGGCGCCACCCCACCCCCTGGCCCCCAGCTCTCTGCCCTAACTCATGAAGACAGAGTGCAGCACAGGTGGTAAGTGGCCACGGGGGCGGGGACCGGGAGGGAGTACGATGCGGGCCGTGGGCAGGCTTGGGGACACTGCCAAGCGAGGACACATTAGCTGACCCTGGTGTGTCCTTCTGGGTTTCCCGGGTCGCAGAAAGGGGGCTGACCCCGAACTGCCGCGTGATGGACGTGTACAAGGTCGGAGGACGCTGGGAGGACGGCGGCAGTGACCGACATGGCAGAGCTGCCAGGGGGGTGAATGCTAGAAGGAAGCCACATGGGGCTGCACGCCACCTACCGCGCCAGGCCCATGAGCCTTGGGGAGTTGGCAGAGAGCCCCAGGAGCAGGAGGCGGGCGCCCCTGGGGGCAAGAGCAACAGTGCCTGGCAGCAGGAGGGAGCGCAGCAAGGCCGCTGTGCCCCCATGGCTCATTCTGTTTCAAACTCAACGTCAGATGAGGAGTCTCGCTGGCAAACTGTCAGAGCTTTAATTTCCGCTCGCCCCTGACGCCCGTCTCATCTGACAGGGGCTTTGAAGGCGGAGGCACTTGTCCCGTTGGAGGGGTTTTGAACTAAACTGATGTATGTCCAACATCGCCAGGCATCTCTGAAAGCCAGTGTTCAAAGGGACGCCAGCTCCCATGCCCACACCTCCCTTTTAGCTGCGAGTGAATCATTCAAGAGCCACCTCGGAGGAGGGCGGGCACGCCCCTCCACCCACCCACCCCCAGTCCTGCAGATGGAGCTGAGACCCCAGAACGTCTCCCTCCGTACCTGGCTGTGCCATCAACAGCCTGGGCGGCCTCCATCCCCGAGCCTGAGCATTAGCCCACATGCACACGGAGAGGGCTGTGCCCGGAGGAAGAGTCCCACAGCTGCTGCCCTTTGGCTGGCGGGGGACGGACCCCTTAGAGCTGCTGCCACTGAGGTGTGCTGGCTGTGTGGGGGTTCTCCACAGTCATTCCCCGAGGGCACAACACGCACATGCACACATTCCAGCAGGCCCTGGCTCCCACACCAGGAAACAGACGGCCACCTGGAGCCTCAGTGGCTGGAAGCAGACGGAGCCCTCCTGAAGAGTCAGTCCTGCCTTGGACACCCACACCAGCCCAGCTCCCCGGGGCTCTAGCTCTCGAGCCCTGAGACACAGCGAGTGTGGCCTTGGCGAGTCCTGGCAATGGCGGCCCAGAGCCGTGGGGAGCCCCCGGGCCGCCCACACAGGCCCCCCGAGCGCCTACCTGCTGCTGATGGTGCTGTTCTTCTCCTTCAGCGCCAGCTCTCTCTGCTGCAGCTCCACCACAAACCGGGAAAGATCCTCAGGCGTCCTGGGGAGAGAGACAGCGGTCAGGCCAGCTGCTCTGCCAGGAGGGGCCCTCGGCCCTCGGGGAGCGCCTCGCTGGGGCCTGGGTGCAGGTGGCAGCACAGCCAGGCCTGTGTCCAACCCCAGCCGCCCCCAGGGAGATGACGGCCCTGGGCAAGGCACTACTTGCAGGAGGATTCTCAGGGACACAGGGCTGGTGCAGGCCGACCTGGCCCCTACCTGGCCCATGACCACACCTGGAAGCATGGCACATTTCACTAACACAAGGTTCATAGCCTGCACTCCTCCTGCATCAGAGGCACATTCTGGCCATCCCCAGGATGCTTCACCCGGGTTCCTGGTGCCCTGCCCACTTGCTCCTGCACTACGCCCAGCGCCGTGTAACCTTCCTGTGCCCTGGGACCCCCAGGGTGGCCATGAGGAGAGAGAGGAGGAACACTGAGAAGACCCCGCCCAGACCCAGCAGAGGGTCTCCACTCATCAGCAGCAGAGGCAGGAAGCAGGGGAGTCAAGGACAGGAAGGGGAGATGGGATGTATGGCCCATAGCCTCCATGAAACACTGCCTCCTGTACCAGGAGACTGGAAGAACTGGACAGTGCCTGGCTACCGTGCCCCAAAACGCTGACCAGAGAAGCTGAAGGCGGAGGGGGTGGGGGGACTTTATGGAACAGAATTTCAAAATCTCCTGGACTGCAGACTTCTGCAGCCATGGGGGTGGGGGGGTGGGGGGCAAATGCCTGAAGCTACTGCTGGGAAACCTTTGAGCCGTCAGCAGGAGCTCGCCCTGAAGCTGTGCGGCACAGGAATGATGGGGTCTGGCTTGACCACCGTGCTTTCTAACACCCTCCACTCGGGATCAGGGCGCTTGCGGAGCCTCGGAGCAGGGAGGGCAGGCTTGGGGCGAGACGGACACATGGCCTGAGGAAAGCCAGCACTCACTGAACGGAGTGCGTGGGGGTGGTGGTGGGGGTAACTGGCCTGCTGGACAGTCTCCACAACAAGTGCACATGAACTCAGCCCCTCGGTTCCACAAAAGCCTGAAATCCAGACCTATCCCTTGGCCAGGAGGGCCCCCTCTGCTTGGGGAAGAGGATGACCAGTCCCTGCCGGCTTACCAGCTGCCAGGCAGTGTGCCTGCGGACAGGAGTGGCTGCGAGGGCCAAGGGGACACTTGCAGATGAGGGAACTGGAGGGGTCCGCCGAGTACCATCACAGCCTAAAAATAACGCAGGGAACCAGGCCCTCCACAGCTCCCACCGACCTCCTGGGCTGGGCTAGGCTGGAGGTGGTAGGAGTGGCCATGCAGCCGCAGCCCAGGCACTGGAGTGGCTGCTCATGACGCTGCCTTTAGCTGTGAAGCCCTTCAACGTGGCCTGGGGGAGGAAGGGGCGGGG